GTATAAACAAAGACAAAGCGCATATCGTGATCGCATGCCATCAAGACATTCTGAGTTATATCACCTTTTCTATTTCTGAATGCACTTTGCTTTTCTGCCGGTACCCACGCAGGTACATGTGAACCATCTATGGCTCTTACACAGTCCTGATAAAAAGAAAAGAAAACACCATATGACAATTCTGATTATGTGGTGTTACATATAAATTATCCTTAGCAAACTAATTATAAGTCGAATCTAGATATTTACAAGACTGTCTTCTTTAACTTTTGCTTATGCTTCTGACCATGCATCATTTACTTCAGCTACTGCTTCTATGTACAATCCTCCTACCTCTTTTCACGCACAAAATCAGATGGCAATAGTAAAACAGAAGCATCACCAGGCACAGAAACAGAAACATCATCATGATAGCATTCATCGTATTTTTCTTAGTTAAATACTAGCAACAGCAATGGCAAGAGAACTAAAACATCTTCACCATCATTACACTTCACCTATAGCACCTAATTCAAGGAAGCTACACTAGAGAGTTTAATGACAAGCAACTGACGATAAACAAGCTTAATACTATGGCATGCCAGTTAATATCATTTTAATGGAAAATACTACAATAAGAACAACCAGCCATCATCTTTCTTTCTCCTCCTATTTTCCAACCATAGGTGTCAGCTAGTTAATATCATTTGGAGCATGCATTTAAGAATATAAAAAGTCACTATAAGAAGCTATAATATATAACTATATCCAGCAATGAAGAAGACCATATCCAGCAACACTCGGACTTGTAAAAAAAAAACAGTCTAAATATCATGCATTTACCTTGAACCATGGATAAAACTTCGTGATGTTTCTTATTCGTGGATGTACCTCTTGTTCATTCCGAGGTGCAATGATAACTGATGAGAATCGGACCAAAGCTTGCACTACATCATCAATGTTTCGCTTAACTGTCTCTGTTGAATGCTGAAATCTTTCTGAAATCACACATGCTTGCCCGTCTGTGCCAGTTAAATTCAAAAACATAGCAAGAGCTTCCTCAACGGATACTTGTCGGTGGTGGTGCTTTGACAGTTAATTTCCCTCTCGAAGTACATCACACAGTCTCGAAAAAGTATCAACTGTGATGCGATAATTTTGTACAATCTGACCGTGATGTCCAAATATCACCTCTCTCACATACTGATGCCCGGTCAAAGCTGATGTCCTACAAGATGTCTTGCTGAATTTTGTTTTGTGAGCTTTTACCATACGTAGTAACTTCCATTCCTCTAGTTCCTCTTCATCAGATGATGACGAATAATCCATCAACTCATCGTTCAAATTAGACGAACCTTCCATCTTACCTATGCAAAAGAAAGAGAAAGAGAAAGGATCTCATATTCTCATGCCAACAAATTCGAGATTTCTCACGATCGGTTTGATTTGGTAAGAGCAATCACAGAGTGAGGAGAGACTTTAAACAAAACAACACCAAATGAATCAGTCAGCGGTAAAGAAGAAATGGGAAAGGAAATCTCAAATGGGTCTGAAAGCTAAAAAGAAAAAAACACTATTAATTAATCAAGCATCCTCACCCACGTCGCGTAAGGGGCGGAGAAAGAACATGATTCCCACAAAAAACTAACAGCAACCCCATGACCATGATACAGGATATCTATCACCTAGAAGGAGTTTCGGATGGCTGACTATTTAATGCAGAGTTTGAGGGATTAGATGGCTGACTATTTAATGCAGAGTCATAAAAATTGGTAAAATTCAACTACGCGCAAGAAATATCAAATCAAGAAAAAGTAATAAAATTCCGTTGAGGATTTGATAGGAAGAAAGCACTCAGATGCCTTAAGAGTTGTCCAAAAAATAAAATAAAATAAGGAACAGAAAAATTATGCATAGCATCACTTAGAATTAGCCAATTAATAATTTAATATACTAATTACTAACTCTGGAAGTTCCACCATTCAAAAACTTTGAACAGCAGAAAGACACACTCATACGAAGTTATACGAGAAACATGCAAATTTTTAGCTTGCCCTTTAACTTTTTTAGGCAATTGATCAATCTCATACAAAGTATTACACCATTTATCATATCATATAACTTCAAAATGTATTCCAATTTTCAGTTGAAATTCCTGAAAAACCACAGCATCAGAAAAGGATGTTCCACTACTCAAAAACTTTGAACAACAGAAAGACACACTACAATAATTCAAACAGAAAGCATCCTCAAAAGAAACAAAAATTTAACAAATCATTCCCAATTAAACCCTCAAAGCAGCAGAAGGGTACAGAAACAAAGACTGAAATAAAGATAAAAGTTCCAAAACATAGAAAGAGCACGTATTTTTCACTTTACCATTACACAGAACATCGGTTACACTGATTAAATTAGCTTACATACCAATAAAAACAGCCCTTCTTAGATCTATCACAAAATGATGTTGTTTTTTAGTCCGAATTTCAGCTTCTAATCAACATTAAGCTAATCCCACATTGAAACACACAAACAAAAAAAGACAACAAGAGGAGGGCTAAATGCGACCTTTTTTTACAAACATGAAAAATGCAGGATAAGATCTGATGAAGCAGGAAAGACTATAAAACCCACCAAAATGGCTGTTGTACCAGACTTGGACTGTATCAATTTTTCACTCTACGACTACTTACTTGGAAGGGGCTTTGTTCTTCCATGGTTTTTTTTTTCTTTTTTCATTGCTCAAGTCAAACAAGAAAAGAAACCCAACAAAGCAATCATTCTCACCTGAAATTTAGACTTGAAATTTTATTTGTTATAATGCTTTACGAAAGGCTGATTGATTGCAGAAAACAAAAACTGATGGAAAAAAGAAAACATACTTTTTAACCAGAAAGGAATATCCAGAAAGGAAACTAAATCAACAAAGACACAAGAATTTAACCAATATCACTAACTCGTGCTCAGCCGTAATGATTCTGACACACAAAAAAAAACCCAGTTCAAATATGATTCAATACGGAAAAATCACGAAAAATTCACACAGATCCATGCTGAAATAAAAAGGATTTGAGTGATAATTTAAGCATTAGAAGTGATGAGAAGCTAACCTTAATCCAATAAAAAAGAAGAAAAAGACGGGAATAAGAGAAAGATTACCAGAATAAGGTGTCGCCTCTTACTTCGCCGTCGCCGTCACCGGCATTGGGGGTTCCGAAGGAAAGAGAGTGGGAAAGGGGCGGCGGTCTAGGGTATGAAGAGAGTGAGAAAGGGCTTTGTTTTCCCGTTATATTGTGACCCGATTTTTTCATAACTCGTCTTCGACCCCAATTTCGACCCCCCGAACGGTAAAAAAAGCCCGGTTTCAAAAAATTGAAAAATACCTCCTACCTATTTTCCAAAAATTCTGTTTTAAGCCTTCTTTTTTTTCAAATTGATATTTAAAAAATACTTTAATTATTTTGTCCAAACGCATTTTAAACTCTAAACATATTTTTTAGCCTTAAAAGTCTTTTTAAAACTCTTGTCCAAATGGAGCCCTAGTATTTATTATTTTTTACGTACATATTTGTTTCATTTAGCGAGTTTTTGTTATTATAAGTTTAATTTATACTTTTATTTGTCGTTTTCCATGATTATTTTAAAAAATATTTTTTAGTCCTTCCTTTTTTGTACTTTTGTTCAAGTTTTTCGCACTTTGATGTATTTCTACGGACACTTTTTTTTTTAGATTTTGTTTTAATTCGCCTAAAATAAATTTTAAAAGTCGCGTAAAATAAAAGAATTATGTCTTACTAGAATTGCATCAAAGTGCAAAGAATTTAAACAAAAAGTACAAAAAAAAAGAAAGAATAAAAAAAGATTTTTCAAAATAATTATGCAAAATGACAAATAAAAATATAAATTAAACTTATCATAAAGAAAAACTCACAAACATAAAACAAATATATACATCGAAGTAATAAACACTGGAAGTCGTGGGAAATTTTTGACAAAAAATCTTGGCGCAATTTATTGAAATCTGACTGAAAGATAAATTTGGGTAAAATCAATAAAATTTATGGTGCAATTTACTTTTTTCTAGGAGTTCGGGCGGAAAAACATAGTAGTTTAGGACAAAATTTTGCTATTTTACCCTGAAAAAAGTACTTAAAACAACAAAATTAAAACACAGGATACATGATTTAGTGAGACCAATTTTTAGGGTAAATAATCTGAAAATCCCCTATTTTTAGGATACATAAAGTAGTTTTTTTCCCTATTTCATATGTACTAGTTGCCAATTCATCTGATGATTTGTTACATCATTTCTCAGACCAAGCAGAAGTGTGTTACAAGCAAAGCCTGCTTATTAATACCACATTTAATTGTGGACCTACCTGCATTCTCCTCCTTAGACTTACCAATAATCTTCACAACGTTTTTTTTTTTTTTAAATAATGGGACACTATATTTAATGTCTAAAATGAGTGTTTCAGAAAGGTACGATGGACACCGATCAATTACATGCTACTATTATTCTCTCAATTAATTTCAACGAATATGGATAATTTTGCTCTTTTTTCTTTTGGTTAATTTTCTTTTTGAATGGCTCAAGATGCAATACTTTCTAGTCTAAGGAACTAAAATTGAAATTTTGCTTGCTACTAACAAGAATATCCGTAAAACACCATTTGCTCGAAAATTGTTTGTTCCTTATCACCATCACTTTGTCGTACTACTTATCCACCAAATACAAACACTAATGACAAGAATAAAGGCATACAAAATTCTTAAAGAAACCTGTCAAAAATCAGGAGAAAGGGGAAAAGAACAACTATTCCCAGGGGATTTGAGGACTGATGTAAAAAAGCATTACATAAATAAATATTGTGGTGGCGAAGGCCAAATGTTGGACAAATATATAAAATGAACCCTTTTTTTCAATTTTATTTTGTGGTCTCTAAAGGCTAAAAAAAGTGGGCTTTAAAAGTAAAAGCCTCAGACCAAAAGAAAATTTACAATAAAAAATAAACTAATTAATTGTTGGGGAAAAGAAAATCAAAATAAGAGGAAAAGGCTGAAAGATAGAGTTGAAGAAATTCCCCCAACCCAACCCAACCCACCACAAAGCCTCCTCCTCTTCACCCTTTCAGGGCCTTAAAAGCTCAGCGACGAGAAGAATTATTAAGAAAAATCATCTCTTTTTGCGTGTAATTTTACAAAGTGTGTAAGACTAAAGCTTTGAAACTATAATTTTTCGGAGTAATAAAGATTGAATCTTTCTTGAATACTGGATAGGAAAAATCTTATCTTTATCAGTCTTACTGCTGCTGCTGTTGCTGTTGCTGTTGCTGCTACTTATTCCTATGGATCCATTTGATGTGGTGTCTTCATGTTTAGAGCTTTGCAAAGGTATATGCGTCAAACCCATGTACCAGATCTTCTGTTTTTTTCCCAGTAATTGGTGAAATTTCGGTTTACTATCTATTGCCTTTTGTTGGGTTTTGAATTATAGAGATCTAGGAGTTTCGTTTCAGAGTTCAGAAGACTGTACCTCCGTTTGACTTTGTTTTTGTGGGGTTTTTACTTGATATTTATATCTTGATAATACTGTTTTTATATAATCTTTTTCTTTGTTAGCTTTCTTGGTGGTCTAAAGATGCTTGATTGAGTGGGTTTTTTAGAGTTTATGCTGATTAGTGAGGAGATGTTTTACTTTTGCAAGTACTGAATTCTGTGATGAACTGATGTTATCTTGTTGTGCATTGTATAATTACAAGGATTTTCTATTTGGGCGGTCAGAAACTTGCATAAGGCAATTTCTTGCGGTATTGATTTTTTGCTCATTGGTTTCTCTTATCCTTCCTGTAGTTGATGTGCAATTAGCCTTGGAGTACTGACCTATGCCATGATCTTGATTTTTATTTTCCTTGTATAATTTGAAGTATGCTGACTTCGAGAGGCTGTTTCTTGCAGGTTTTGGGTGATTTTCGCATGATATTTGATCTTGTCATTTTTGAATAGAGACCCTACCGTATTCAGTTATCTGTAGAGAAAATAGAGAAATAGAAAAGAATGAACTTTTCAGGAAAAGGAGCTCTTGTTACCGAGAAAAAACTACCAGCCACAAAGTTAACTTCCTTGAACCCAAATGCTGCAGAATTTGTTCCATCTTCTTTTAGATCACCAACTGGAAGTGCTAGCCCTGCAGAAGCATCCTCCAAGTTCATTACAACTACTACAACAACATTAGGAAAATCGGTGCTTGACAGGTCGGAGTCATCTGCCTCCAATGTCTCAAATAACTCTGATGATGAGGCCCATCAGTTTTGGCGTCGCCAGCTTCCTGATGACATCACACCTGATTTCAAGGTGATGGGGGAGGATGATTCCCAAGGAATCAATAACCTTTCACTCTCGGGCTTGTCATTAGGTGACGTCAATGAGGTTTCTAGATTCCCTGCTTCTGCAGGAAGTGGCTTCATTTTTAAGGACCAGCATGAGTTATCTCCTCATCCTACAAATGGAAATAACTTCGCTGAGAAGATGAGATTTCCCGCTTCATCCTATGATGAGGACCTAACCCCAGGCAATTTCAGTAGTTTATCATCTCCAAAACCTTGGGACAAACATCTCCTGAATAATGACTTATTTCTTCCCGGTGCTAGAGAAGGTGCTCCTTATAATGGAAATTCCCGTCATGGATTCCCATCAGGCGTGATGAATGAACAACAATATCTGGACAATATGGACGTGAATCCGGTTGAGTTTTTGGCCTCTCAGTTCCCTGGTTTTGCTGCTGAAAGTGTTGCCGAGGTTTACTTTGCTAATGGGGGTGATTTGAACTTGACAATTGAAATGCTGACACAACTTGAGGTATGATTTTGTCGCTCAATCTTTGGAACAAGATGAGTCTCCTGTTTCTATCAATATTTATATCTGATTGGATAAAGGTAGCAATTCTTCCACTTATTAGCTTGCTATTATGTCTATTAGTCACTCTTTGAACTTCATTGGAGTCATCATGATGGAATCTTTGCAAATAGTTTGCTTTGGACTGTAAATGACAGCCTCTAGTCCCTACTTATGACTTGACTCTAGGAACCATGCCCCCAAGTGCAGTATCCTTATAGATGTTGTGAGTTGTTCAATCTAAGTCCCAGGTTCCTGTTTGCATGTAGATACTACTCTTTCAGTTGCTCCATGTTAAAATTTCCTCTATTTTGTTCTTTTTTCCTTTTTAACTTGTGTTCAGCACATTTTTACTCTCTGATGAATTGTTAGTTGGTTCATGCTAACTTTGCAATACTATTTTGGTCATTTTCATCAATGAAATTTTTCGATGGTTAAAGTTAAATCGTGGAAGCAATATTCCGGCGCTTATATGTTGAGAAACAATAGGCTTTTATATAGAGAGGAATTCAATGAAGTTTTTATTTAGCAACTTCTGTTTCTGTTTGCATTTGATCCTTTAGCTAGGTAATGACCACCCTTAGCTTGTGTTTGTGTAGATTTATTGTAACTGATGTAGTCCTTTCCATTGTGTGCAAGTTAATTGTGGGCACTGCATTAATTTTGTTGTAGGTGCTCTTTACTTGGTTGGGTGATGTGTACAGTCCTCCTTTTTCTTCTTCTTTTTTTTTTTTGCTTTCTATTAGTATGATAACTTTGTCAACGAGCTCGATTTTGCATGCTTAATATACTGAGAAAGTGTCCTGAATTTATCACATCGGTGCTTTTTTGACATTATGATGTACTTTCACTGTAGCTTCAAGTTGATGGTGGTCTGAATCAGAATATCAATTCAAAAGCACTATCTGCTCCGAATCTCAATGCAATGGAGTTCCCTGCACTTTCTTCAATAGATGGCCAAAACGGAGTGTCTAAGTTTGCTGCTGATGAGCTCCAACAGGGTATGAACCCTTACAGGCCTTCCGAAAAAGAGAATCTACTCTTTTTCAAGTCTAGCGCTTCATTTCCCTCCAGAGGCGCCGTGGATTTTGCTTCTGCTGTCAGGAAAATGCCACCTCAAGATTCTGGTGTGTGGAAATATGACCGAAACAATTCCTCAGATGCAAATGCAGGATCGAGTAGAAGTTCACAAATATTAGCTAGCTCGTACAGCAGTGGCCAGGTAAGAGGGATTTACGGCGATAGGTTGCAGAGTCGGGGATCGTCTCGTGCAGTGCCTGTGTGGCTGGAAACTGGAGATGTTGTTGGTAATATTTTCCAGCAACTACTGATTTTCCTTTATGAGATATAATTGTGGTAGACAAGCTTTGTGCAGCTATGTATATGCATTAATGTTTTTGAGATGGCAGCAAATATGTACACTGAGATGCGGGAGGAAGCTCGTGGCCATGCACGTATACGCAATGCTTATTTTGAACAGGTACAAGTTTCTATTACAAGATGAAGACTTAGTGTAGTATATGGAAAAGTGAATATCATTAGTATGCATACGCATTGGAAGCACTCCATAAGCCAGCTCCTGTCGCTTATTTCAGAATGTATTCTATCTACTACAACAGTGTGATCAGGTCCTCCTGTATGGTTTCCTCTCCTCTTTTCTTCCACCATCTTATGGGAGAAAGAAGTATTTGTTGTTCAAATGTTTGATGCAATGCTTATTCAAGTGTTTATGCATATCATGAAATCCCAAGTTGCACTTATTTTTCCTAAGCCTTTGTTTTTATACTATTGTTTGGGAGCATATTTCGGCCTGGGTTTTGTATGCAGTTGTGCGTCTGAAGTCAGAAGGGAGCACTGCGTTTTTGTTATTTTGTGGACGTGTTTGTTTGATTAACCAATAAAATGTTGATAATTATAATTCTAAAGTAGTAGTTGACATACGTTTGTCGTATTCATTCTCTATATAATTTTTGTAGCTTTCTTCTTGTTGTTACTTATGGTAGGCCGTAATATGCATCAGGCTCCTCTTCCGCTCCCCCCAACCCCCGGTTTTTTTTTTCTTGCCTTTTTATTGGCCGTATTCTTCTTCGTCTCTCTGGTGGATCAAGGTGGAAAGTATCTTATTGTCGCTTAATACATTCCTGTGCTCGGTGCAGCTATTCTCAGTTGACCCTGTTCGATCTCTTTCTGATTGACCTAAACAAAGAATTTATAATCTGTGTTCGTGTATGAATAGGCTCGGCAGGCATATCTCCATGGCAACAAGGCTTTAGCAAAGGAGTTGAGCATTAAAGGTCAACTCCACAACATTCAGATGAAGGCAGCTCATGGAAAAGCTCAAGATTCTATTTACAGACAGAGGTTTGTAAAATAAATATTATACATTCTTTTTGGTGAAGTAACCCATGGTCGACAAGACTAATGTTTTGACAACGGAATGAAGTCAGAGGGAAAAAAATTGTACTGTTGGAAATTGGTTCTTTTAGGATTGGTTGGGTCTTAGCTATTCAATTTAGGCAGTCAGGTTTGGGTCTGAAAACTTTCTGAGGAAATTGAAATTGTTTGAATTTACTGGTAACCACAATTTGTACACTTATTACTAGCCTTAACTGTTTCATTTGGGTCTAAATATCCTTGTTTCTTCTTTTAAGTTATAGTTTTGTTATAGGCTACATGGATGATTTTGGAAGTTATGATTGAAGATTTGTTTTATTGGATCATTGTTCTGCTGTTGCACTTAGTGTTTTGTACTTGAATTTTATCAGATACTGCAATTGAACCGTGTTTCATGATGATTGCATGTGCAGAAATCCTGGAAGTACCGAGATACAGGCTAACGGGAGGGGAGTACAGGAAAGGATCATAGATCTTCATGGCCTCCATGTTAGTGAAGCTCTACATGTCCTCAAACGCGAGCTGTCCCTGCTGAGGAACGCGGCCAGATCAGCAGACCAACGATTGCAGGTTTACATATGTGTTGGAACAGGTCACCACACCAGGGGTTCTCGGACTCCTGCAAGACTTCCAATCGCTGTTCAGCGTTACCTGCTTGAAGAAGAGGGACTTGATTACTCTGAGCCCCAGCCGGGTCTCCTAAGGGTTGTGATATTCTGAATCAATATCAGTCAGGAAGGTATAGGAAAGTTCTTTTTTGACACGTAGCATAAGTAACCCCCATTTCATCAGTCATCGAAGCTTAAAAAAAAAAGAAAAAGATGGAGAAAAAAAATGAAAAAAAGTTGTACTTGTAAATGGGAAGAAATGGAAAAGGTAGATCAGGGGTGAAGGAGAAAATCCACTGATGAAAAAAAAAAAAGAAAAAAAAAGAAGGAAGATATGGTCAAGACAGAAGTCAGGAATATGTGTATCATTAAGAAGAAGCCCTAGTTGTTGTTAAGGTTAGAAGTAAATTTTGTAGTTGTCACAGGTTAAGGTTACTCTTGGTTGTTAGTCCAACCCAGTTTTTTTTTTTTTTTTTTTGATTTTGTAATTCTTGTACCTGTATTTTTGGATGTTACATTTGGTGTAACGTAAGTCATAGCATTCATTTTACATCATGATAGTTGAAAGTTAAATTTGGCAAAAGAAAGAGTAGTAGTTTGGTTTCTTTTCAAGAAGCGGGGATTGAAATTATGGTTCATGTGCAATTTGGTCATAATCCTTTGCATCTTCTTTCTTTTTGGCCCAAATCAACAACACGTAGAGCTCGTATTCAAAATGAATGAAAACCTCATTGGTGGTTCATCAAAATATACAATATCATAAATTACTTCATTTAGAAAGAAACACGCAACACACACCAGGAAAGTTGAAATGAGATTGAGAATTGCTTTGGGTTGGGCTATAAAAGGGATCTTTCTATCTACACACTGAAGCTGATCCTCTCCTCCCGTATTTCATCAAAGCAAGCAACATACTATTCTCCAGATTAACTGCTAAGGTTGCTGATTTTGGACATTCAAAGCTTGCTCCTGCTCATGACTTTGAAGGAATGGTGCTTTAGTCATCTACGGTGATTAAAAGAGCTTTTTCTGGGATTAGTAAATGTGGAGCAAACATGTTTTCAGACTTCCACATCACTATGAAAATAATATTTAATCATATTTTGTTGTATATTACTTACACTTACTAGCAAGATAAAACCACATTTAAACGTCTATCTTTTTTTTTGTTTTTTTAATATAAGGTGAAAAGTGAAAACACGAAACTTGTTTACAATTGCACACTCCTAAGAAGGAATTGATGTGGCTATGATGTTTTGAGAGTCTTACGTAAAAAATTATCCCTGTTCTCCTCACACAAATTATAGGAAAAATATTAGGGTAGTATACTGACGTAAAGTTGACAAAATACTCAAAACCCAAAATTGCTTCTTCCTTTTTCAAGAATCGGACAATACAGTAGTACTTCTTGGTGAGATATGTACACCAAAACTTTTCTCCAAAGGCTTTTTATGGACGAATCCAAATATATATATATATATATATATATATCATCGTTCAAATAATAATGAAATTATTATGCAAATTAACTTTTTTTTGGAATAAAAAATGAAAAAGAAGGCTCGAGTGTGTGTCTGCACGAGTCGGGATCACTAGAGGCGACAGCAACCACGCCTTTCTAAACGCAACCAGTGGAAGAAAACGTTGAGAAAAATTAAAAAGGGGGAAAGGAAGAAAGAGGAAAACCGAGGAGCATTTTAACCAACATCCCTGAGGCTCGATTGTTTGGGGTAAAACTAAAAAGAACACACAGTAGAAGTGTGGTGTGTGTGTGAGGTTTTCAATGGCGAACCCAGGATCATCCTCCTCCTCCTCATCTTCGTCATCGAAGGGGAAGTGGAGAAACCTCTCAACCTACGCTGCTCGCGTGTTTTTTGTCCTCATATTTCTTCAAATTCCCCTTTTCAGGTACCCAGAAAACAATCTCCTCTGTTCCTTTTTTTGGTTGGGATTTTAGTGGTTAAAAGGTTGATGTTCAGTACAAAATGGAATGGGAACAATTCAGAAGTCAACTTGGAGTTAGTTTTTGACATGAGTTTACTTCTGTTATGGGATGAGGATGAAGTGTTTGTTTCCGATCAATGATTTTTTTTCATCCGGTAGTATTTGATCTAAGATTGTTGACTGTTGGTAGTCCCGCAACTGACCAGATCTTTCTGTATCACTTTGTTTGAAGGATTTTTTTTTTTTGCCATTTACTGGTTCGGGGATTTATGGTTAGATTTACTATTTGAACTGGTAAATCTCGTTGGTTTCATGGGTTTTACTACTGTTGGATATTGTCCGAGGAGGTCTTGATTTGCTTCAACAATGCTCCCCATTTGATTTTATTTCACTTCTTTTTGTCCTCTTTGGAATTTCTTTTCTGTGTGCTTAACATTTCCGTATGACAGAGAGAGATAGTTGAAGATTTTTTTTTTAGCTGAGTGTAGTAGATGATGCACTGAGTCACAATGCTTTGAGATATTGAATGCAGCTGGTTGTAGATGTACTGAGTTACTGTGCTGTTAGGTATGGAGTGCCGTAGCTTAGCTTTTACACTGCTTTGATCTGATAAGAGTGCAACCTCATAATTGGATGCTTTTCCCTTTTGTTAATCAACTAAAGAAACGGTGAAGGAAATTGAAGTGTCAGAGTTGCTTCATGCCAGATTTTTATTTAGCTTGAGATATGCAAGGTAGTGTAGATGGATTCATGGGACTGTCATCAATATGCCCCTGGAAATCGATTTTTACCTTTCGCGGGGCGGGGAGATTAGCTGACTTCCGTTTCCTTTTGCATTATTAAGCCTTGAGAATTTATGTATTACCAATGGGTTCTTTTGTTTTGAATCACTGTCTTTATCCTCTATAACTTTTCACTACCTACTCTCTGTGGGAAACGTGTTTTAAATCTGGTTTAAAAGATGTGTTACAGTTTAGGACTTGCAAATTTGTTTGATCATTCTGTGTTGTCTTTTCCTCTTTTGTACTGCTATTTTATCATTTGGTTATTTAATCCCTTTTCCCTACTCCTGTTGCTTGATAGGGTTCCATGTAGATCTGGTATATGTACAACACCACTGCAGGTGACCTCGTGCCAACTGATATCGAGCGAAATATTTCCTCTTCCAGTAGTGAAAGCTCTGCTCTTTCCGGGTGCTATCTTGGATGGTCTGATCTACAATGCCACAGTTCCAAAGTGGGATGATCTTCTCAACATATATAACTTGACCAACGTGAAGGAGGCTTCTCCTGTGACTGACTTGCAGCGCTTGGAGGTTTGGCGTTTTTGGTTTATTAGATTGTGGATTTTCAGTAGCAATTATGGATTAAGCAACTTAAAAATAAATAAATAAAAAGCTAACTCAGTTTTGTTATGGAACATGCATGATTTGGCCTTATTCAGTCATTCACTACTACTTGAGTTTCACTAATCTGCTCCCTTTTTGGATTATGAAAAGCCTCGTTGAACATGAATCTCTAGTTTTCTGTTTAACTGTTCTTAAGTGCTAAATGTCTTATTGAATCTGGATCATTTGCTTGCTTTATTGTAAATTTATTTTGGACTTCATTCATACTGGAACTATGTTTTGAGTTTATATTATGGGTAGCAATAATAACAGGTCTAATGCTTTTACCTTCCAAACCAATTTTTTAAGTTATGGACAATATACTCAGACTCCATTTGATAATCACTGAAGTCTGAATCTGAACACTTAATACTTAACACTGAAGTCTGAAATCTGAAGACTGAATTTATATTGTTTGATAAAAATGTCTGAAGACTGAAGTCTGAAGTCTGAAGACTAAATCTGAATAATCAGGTCTGAAAGTTATTTAAATTTTTAATATCGTAAAATTGAATTATAAACAAAATTCTTTTAAATAGAAAATAACTAATATTTTGTTCTAAATAATAAAATAATAATTTTAAATAAGTTTTTAGTACATATAATGAAATTAGATATTACAGTTGGTAAGTAATCAATATATAATTAAATTTATATTTTTTACATATATCGATATATATGTGTACCTTGTTATTTAGCAAATTTTATGTATTAAAATTAGTTTAATTTGAGTTTGAAAGTTTGAGATTTTTTATACTCATAATAAAAATTCAAATTTAAGCACTCTTAATTAATTTATCTTAAGAAATTAAAAAATTTAAAAAAATGTAAAAGTGAGCGTCGAAATAAAGATGAGGTAAAAAAAAAAAAGGAAAAAAAAAGAGTCATTACAGAAATTAAGTGTTAAGTGATAAGTGATAGACTTATCACTTATTTTCTAGCTCACAATTGAACTAACCATTCAGACACACTTAATTAATTAAGACAATGAAATTTTAGTTATCAAACGCACTTAATTTATAACTACTTAATTAGTTCAGAACTTAATTCATTAAGACTTTTTAGTAGAGATTATCAAACACACTTAATTTCATTAAGTACTTAAATAAATTAAGTCAATATATTAAGTGATTATCAAACAAATCCTCAGAAAGCGAGATCGTATAACTTGATTGTGTAAGGGTTTATTGGAATTAGCTTTATATACTAATTTTTCCTCCAGCCACCCTTGTTTTGTTGTTAATCTTTCACATCTTTCTTGTTATTCTAGGTTCTTGCTGGTAGTTACTTTGCAGTGGCTGGTGGGCTTATCGGCCTCATAAAACCTGGGAGAATGAGCATGTTTGGAACCCTTCTAATCATCTGGGGGCTTGTCAAAGAAGGTATTCTTGGAAAGCAGCCAGTGAATGAAGACCCGACAGGTCCAAGAACAGTCTTTGTTTATCCAACCATGTTAATGGCTCTAGTCTGTGCTTTCTTGTCGGTTAAGTATGACATGAAGAAAGTCTTGCGAAGCGCTCCAGCGCAGCCCATTGCAAAGCCTCTGCAGAGCTCTAAAAAGTCGAAGTTGAAATGAGTGTGTATCTTCGAGAAAATAGAAAATGGTGTCTTTTGTTAAGTTCCGCTTAGTCTAGAATTAGCTCTAATCTTAGGCTAAAACTCATGTAATTGCATCACAGAGAATTTCAGCAGTTGGCTTGATTTGTCTTGAGTTTGTGCTGAGGAAGTTTCTTTCTTAAAATGAATCTGCTAGCAGAAGCAGCACCTTGATGAACTCTGGGTTGTATTCCTAATGAACGTGGGACAGAAATGAACTAGCGAAGGGTCCAGATATCTTTTTGATTCAATTGAGAATTTCAAGATGCATTGTAAATTTATCGTCTTCCAGTTGTTATACTTGCTTCTTAGAAGAAAATTACAGGATGCTTTGAAAACTAACTTCTGAAATTTTTTCATCTTTTCCCTTAAACCCAAAAAGAAAAGAAGTAATCTCATGAGCTTGTTAGGTTTTTATTAGTGCAAAGTTACTGTTAGTTTGCAACAAGCCAACAAACTTTGAACAAAATACACTATATTCTCATCTTCCATTATTATTATACTAATCCAACGTGGCAATTTCTTTGAAAATTTACTATATTCTCATCTTCCATTATTATTATACTCATGGTAATATTACTGATTTGTTCTTATATCATAATAAACATATTATTATCCATTTAAGATTCACCCGTAATGAAAGGAGAGACAGTACGGCTCTTTTCGTTTTGCTTTTGATTATCTAACAAAAATTATAAATCGTAGTAAAATTTATATTCAAATGGGAAAGAACAAATCAGTAAGTAATCAATACATGGTTAATATGACATTGGTTTTCTTCACAATCTTATCTATTATTAAATTAGTATAATGGAAATTACGGGATTTGATATTTTCATAACTTTTGAAATTTGGAAATATTAATACTACCTCTATTTTTTTTCTAATTGTCGCTTTAGGCTGAATCTAATTTTTTTTTTATCTGTCGCACTAAATAATGACTAGTTATCATTCCAGCACAATCTGAATCATACCAAAATATTAATAAGTGCGACATTTGAAAAAAAAAAACTTCATTGTGCTAGAATCGCACTAAATATTAAAACCAAAATGCTAGAATCATACCAAATATTTAAAAATACTACTATTTGTCGAGGATAAATCCCGGGGGCGGAGAGTCAACGGTCCGACCTAGACGGGAACCTGCAAAACGGAGGTTAGCACTCCGAAGATCAAGTCAGTTCTAGGGAGAGAAGCAGGTAATTGTTACACTTAGAGAGAGAAACGGGAATGTGGAATTGAATTAGCAATAAATGAACAAAGAGTATTTATAGGTCTCAATGGGACAATACCTGTGGACCCCTGTGTCGAGAGGGGCAAGAGCGTAAATAGACATGCGTTAATTCCTTGTAATTCGGTTGGGCCCAAAGGAATTAATAAAAGAATGACTTGGGCTTGTAAGATGAGCCCAATTCAGATGGCAAGTTGGGCCGGTCAAGATGGGTCAGGATTGACCCCAACACTATTTAACTCGCACATTGTGCTGGTATAATAACTAATCATTAATTATACTAAAATGCTAATCAAAATCTTTTATGCAAGATGCTCAAATCGACGTTGAGTTTGGGAGATCTGGCGCTTCGCCTTTCATTTTCGTTGTATGCCATCGTTAATCAACACATTGCATCTCATCGTATAGAGCACGAATATTCACGAAACTGTATTCCTATTAACCTGATCTACAAATTCCTTGGATACATTTGCTCGCACGGTGTTGGAATTGGTGTGGGAGACATTTTGGATTTTAGTGCTTGTTTGGACATTGGTTTGTTTTTGGTTTAGTTTTTTATTTGATTTTGAGATGTGTAAAATATAGTTTGAGAGAAAATTTAAAACATTGTAATATTTTAAATAAAATAATAATATTTTTACACTACTTCCGGACTATCGCTGCAGCCAGGTTGTAGATGAAAATTGTGAAAAAATAATGTTTGAAATAAATTTTAAAAAGTAAATTAAAAAATTATTTGAATAGTATTAAATTTTGTGTTTGAGAGTTGTTTTTAAGAAGTAAAACGAGACAAAAGTCAAATAAAATATTTTCAATTACTTTTTAAATTTTTCTTTTTAATTTTAACTGTTATTTTATTAATAAATACTTTTATTTCAATTTAAATTCTTTATTAAAAAACGAAAACCTTATATACCAAAGTATCCCTGCGAATGCGGCGGGTCAACAGACGTCCAAACGGAAAAAATTACTAGAATAGTGAGACAAATAACAGAATAGTTGGATAATAAAATATAAATGATCATGTGAATATTAAAATTGAGGATCAAAATGTGAGGTTGAGCTAATATAAAAAACCATTTACGTATATAGTTTTGTCTTTAACCTACATTAGTTTTGACTTTTAAGTGTAACACACATCATTTTATACGACTGCCTGATGAAATGATGATTTCAATATTTGTAAGACACCGATTTGTTCCCTTCCTTCTTACCCTTTAAAACATTCATTTTAAAGGTCAAATTTTATTTTTTAGACCAAATTAAAAATTATAACAAGAGAATGAAACAAGTTTTTATTTCTAATTTTATGAAATATTTATAAAAAACAAATAAAAAGAGAAGTAGAAAAAGGACTTGATTTTGTCGATTTTATTTTATTTTTTTGTATAGAAGAGGTACCTCTATATATATTGTTTTGTTACAAGATATCTGTATATATTAAATGACAATAGCTATGCGATTTTGTTGGTCGATTTTTTTGATTTGTCAATTAATTGGGAACAAAATTTGGTTCATTTGGATTTTTTTCATCAATTATACAACCTCAATATCATCACCAATATTTTCAAACATATACTGAATCGTCTGTTGGATTACTGTCTATGGGGTTCGAACCCATACGCACTTATGTGCAGAAGATCTTAAGTCTTCCCCCTTAACCTCTCGGACAAAGACTATGATTTCAAATTTGGTCACCTGATTAGATTTCTGTATAATTTTATATTACGCAAGTTCAATAGTGTCACCGATTTCATCCAAAATATATCTGAATGTTACACTCAATTGTCCATGGATACAAGTTAAGATACCATGATTTGAACCATTAAGACCATACGAGCAACATATTTATATATTAATTTAATCTCTTGAATTAAGTTCAGTCAACAATCCTAAAAGACTAAAAATTAAATTTTTCATTCTATAATTGGTGCCAAATCCCCTAATTACTAGTCATATTTTGTGTGAATCTTTACTTGAAACATTTCATTTTTGGTTAAATTTCATGATAAGGTTTTGAATTTTATAATTTTTGAAGTAAATGGTGTGTTGTTCTTCCTAAATCTTGCAGATTTTTTTTGAGTGGATGATCAAGTTTGCAAATTCTTCCTCTTTGCTCACTTTCACAAACCAACTCTTGTATTATGTTAATTTTAAGTTTACTTTGTTATTGAAATTACTTTGATTCATACTTTCCAAAACTTCAGTTGAAATTATCACTTAAATTTAAATTGTTGCTCTCTCTTTGTTGATGTATGTAGTTCTCCCCATAATGTTGTTCATACGGTTTCTCTCTTCGTTTATGTTACGAATTATATATATATATTTTGTATATTTATTATTTTTTTTTTTATCTCTCCGTTAATATTATTCTATTAGTGGAAAAGTGACTGAAAGAGACATTTCATTTAGAGGAATAGTTCTCAATTATTGCCAGAGAATAAATGTCAAGTTATGGTTGTTTTTTATCAATTTTATTTGGCTCGGATCGAAACTCGACTTGGTGTAAAGGTCATAATTATTAAGTTTGGTATATAATACATTAAAATTTTACAAAATTTAACTTAATTGTATTTGTGTTATTATATAAGTAAACTAGATGTTATACCCGTGCGATGCACGAGATCAAACAATAACTTTTTTAATAATTTACTGTTATTAATTTACGATAATTTTACTTTTCTGACTGTATCAATTATTAAAAAATCAAATAACATATTAAAGAAATCGGTTTTATGTCCAATAATAGTCAACCAAACATTTAACTTGCTAAAATTGATATAAGAACTCGAGCAAATACGGTATGGACCTACAATACCAAAACAAACAAAATGTTAGTACTAACGCCTATAAAATCATTATTAATATTGAAAAAACTTTTGTAATCAACAATATAATATATGCCTAATTGTTATACTTCAAGTTTAGCTCAAATGTTCCCAAATGAAAAAAAAGAAAAGAAAACAATTATTGCAACTCAGCTTCAAGGAAATTCTTATACTTCCTATATTTTTTTTAAAAACTTAAAGTGGGATCCCAATAAATTTTATTAATCTTTTAAGGGATAAGATAATTAGAACAACCCAAATTTAGAGGACTATTGGACAATTAAACTAAGTTTTATTTGGAGAATCTATAAGAAAATTACACCTAAGATTTTTGCTGATATGTCACTCTAGGGATAAATGATGTTTCCTCTGGTTTCTCTCTTAGAATATACTATAGATAGATAGATAAATAGATAGATATTAGTTATTTGAGATAGTTAATTGGATTATTCAAGAGTAAAAATATGATACAAATTAAAGACATGTTTAATAACACCAATTATTGTTTAGAATTATTCCATTAAATATATTTTTTTTTATTTCAGTATGTTTGATAGTAAAAACTGAACCTCTACATGAATTAAGTGGTACTGAAACTAAATGTAAATAACAAAAGTTAACTCATTGCTTATTATTCAATAACTGTTTGATAAATTCAACATTTCTGATTCAGTATTAAGTGTTCGGAATTAAGCAATAATTTTCATCAAACAAAACCATCAATTTCAGTCCTTCATATTTGGATGAGTAAATTGCTTAATGGTTCCTTTACATTTGCAAAAAATTTATCTTGGTCCTTTACATTAACAATTCACAAGTTTGGTTCTTTATATATGTATTTTTTACTTTTTTGACACTTTACATTTGGGGTTCTCAGGTTGACCCTTTTTTGGTCAAGTCAATAGGGGTATTTTTGATAATTTTTAAGTTTCAAATTTTCAAAAATTCTAAAAAACCAAAAACTGATTAAAATAAAATTATTTATCAAAAATAAAAATTTAAAAATTTAAAATTCAAAATTATTTTTCTAAGATCTGAGTTACTATTTTTTATCTTGTGGATCACACGCGCGATTTCTTCTTTATCCTTAGTCTGTAATTTTTTTCTTCTTGAATATACCCCTTATTCTGTATTTCTTTTTTCTTCTTAAATATAACCATGTTATTAAAATAATATTAAACACATATATTTTTTTCTTCTTGAATTTTTTTCTTCTTTACCCTTAGTCCGGTTTCTTCTTGAATATCGGATTGGAGGGTTTAGGAATTAAGTTGGGTGTTTGATCGGGGAGAGAAGAAAAAAAATTACACACTAAGAGTAAAGAAGAAATCACGCGTGGGGCTCACATGATAAAAAATAATAACCCAGATTTTAGAAAAAAAGAATTTTGACTTTTGAATTTTTTTAAATTTTTAATAATTAATTATAAAGTTAATATGATATATTTAATATTATTTTAATCAATCTTTGGTTTTTTTAGTGTTTTTGAAAATTTGAGAATTAAATTTTACCTAAAATACACATGTTGACTTGACCAAGAAATGCTCAATCCGACCACTCTCAAATGTAAAGAGTCAAAAAATGTAAAAAAAGAAAAAAAAAGAAAAACTAAACTAGTATAAAATACATATGTAAAGGACCAAACCAGTGAATTGTTAATGTAAAGGACTAAAATAAGTTTTTTGTCAAATATAAATGTCCATTCGAGCAGTTTACTCTTTTGAAAAACAATTATTTTATTTTATTTTATTTTATTATTATTTTTTTTTTTTGGTCGCAGATAAGGTGCAAAACTTATCCCTTCCATGTAATTACCAACCAGATACTTTGGTTTCATTGAGTAGTCACTAAGAGTCTAGTTTGTCAATCACTTGATATTGGATAATTTCGTAACTCGTTAATAAAAATTATTTCAAAGAATGGTATTCTTATTGTTTCAAAATCATTGTCTAGTATTAGATTTTCGCTCTTAATTCAATTTGTACTAAAAATAAAAATCTAAATTGAAGAATAATATCAGGACGGATGGAATATTACTTATGGCTGATGGCATTGTTGTAAACAATTGAGATAACAAGCCCATCAATTTTGTCCATATTTGTATTTCCATATATCTTACATAAAAGGCAAGAATCGAGTTAATCATGAAGGAACACTCTGCTCGAGCAAGTTCAGCTAATGACCTAATGTATACCATGCAATAAGAATGGATTTCCTTTATAAGTAAGGAATCTGATCTCCGCCCCAATACACCACAAATGCCCTTGTACCTTCAGTTCTCCTTTCATTTCTGCCGTCTCCCAAACAAATTTGAATAGACCAAGAGCTCTATCAAGCTGTTTCATTGCCCCCAATATCACAGTTTCTTCATCTGATGTCAAAAATTTACCCATACACAGGTAAAACACATTTTTGCCTTCAGCGGGATAAAACCCTCCGCTTACTTCCACCTCAATATCACGAACGCTCCCATACAGATAATACAGCAGCAGCGAGTAAAGACACCGTGATGAGTGACCCAATGTCTTGATGAGCTTCTTTTGCACCAGATTTTCATGGTGCCGAGTCTCTTTGTACCCAATGTTTTTGTCCATTAGAACATCCCGAATTTGATAAAGACCTTCCTTCATGATCTCAAGCTTCGTTACATGCGAAACATACTCCTTCCTATCACTCAAGCAGTTAATAAGGTCAACGAACATCTCAAGGACTTCCTCCCATTTGTGATTTCTGCTATCTGCCTTTGCACCTTTGGAAGGTGCAAGGCGCATCCATGAAGTGGACTCGAGATCATAAGATATCGCAATGTTAATATGCTTCAGACAACTGGCAACCACCTGCTGTGCCATTTTAGTTTCTTTGCTCGGGTGCTTCTTAATTTGATAATCAATCTCGGTTCTCAGATCATTGAGTATCTCTTCCAGTGCACCAGTCCATATCTTATGCTCAGTTACCTGTGGCAGTATTTTGAGCCTGACCAACTTCCTCTGTTGAGCCGAAACATTCAAAATGTTGGCAACTCTAGTAAGCGAATTCAAAGTGAGAGGTCCCCTTTCACAGGGCTTACCAAAGAAAATCGGCAAACCATCACCAAACCTAGCCACTCCATTCTTCCTAATCGCTTCTTGCACGGTTGGACAACCAATAAATTCCCTAGAAAGTAACTTAAAAGCAAGCATTTTCACTTCAAGCTTATCATCAAAGACTCTTGAATTATCACTAACACTAAATAACCTTCCATCAATCAAGTCAATACCTTTTAACAATCCGGATAATTTCTTTAGCTTCAGATAGGCCTTTTCATACCATTCAGTAGGCGAAAGCTCTTCCTGAGGAGACATTTCCGGGGACTTAATGGACAGAAATCTCAAATGCACCAGTCCAATCTTTTTGGTTCTGAAGTACTTGGATGAATGTTGCACAAGGCCTTCCACATGCTGCCAATAAGCCATGACCCAAAATCTGGAGAATAAAAAGTCCTCACACTTTCACCTGTTCCTTTCCCAGAAAAAATCTCGTTCCGGCATTTTATCGAACAATCTGAGGGCACTCTTTCTCCAGCAGTAGCTTGCCCACCAGTCTTAGTTTCAGTTCAGTTTCTTGCTTGATCACCAACAACCCAGAAAACTAAGAAGCCTAAGCAGAGGTCTAGACGCCATTCGCAGATGAAAGAACGAAGTGAATAAAAGTGGCTCAATAAGCTTTCTTCTTCTTCTAAAATAAATGTGCCAGTTAAAGAGGGAAAATACGACCATTGAGTTCTTAATAATCAGGAGTATAAAAAAGTAGACATTTCTTTTTGGGAAATAACAAAAGAAAAAAAAAATTCTTTACTACAGAAAAATAAAATACTAGTACTATATATCTTCAAGATTAACTTTTTTTTATTTTTACAGAAAAGGATTCTTATTCTGCTTCATCGTCATCAGAATTCAGTGAACAAAATCCACCTCTTCAGTGCCTCAGTTTCACTGGGAAAGAAGATAAACAATGGCTTCCCTTCAAATATCCATCGACTTCCAACAACTTCTTCATCTCCACCATAAACCCTCTTTCCTATTCAACCCAATTACTACTACAAGAATTGCAACCCAATCCTTCTCTTCCTCTTCTTCTTCTTCTTCTTCTTCTTCTTCTTCTTCTTCTTCCTCTTCTTTCTCCTCACTTCTCACTTTTGCTCGCCGCAGGGGCAGCCACAACAATCCTATTAGCACTCAGAAGCCTAACGGAAGAAAGGTGTGTGTGTGTGTGTGTCTGTTTTTTTTTTTTTTTTTTTTTTTTGAATTTGGTTTGTAACTGAATCACTGGCATTTGTTTAAATTTACTCTCTGTGCTGCTTTTTGGATGGAATTTGTGATTGTTGCGGTTATGGTGTAGTCGGTTCATAAGTGTTTAACTTGTCTTTTTCTGTCATCAAGCTTGCCTTTTTAGTTGGTTTTTAGAAAAGAGACCTGTTAACTGATTTTCTTGTGGAATGAAACATATGTTTTAGAGTTGAGCAGCAATGGCCGCGTACGATCCTAATGGCTGAGCTTGCATTGTCGATTAAGGCATAATTGTTTACGTAATGTATTTCTCGCTGAAATTTGAAATCTGTCTTGCATTTTTTGGTGTAATGTGTTCATGTTGAAAAGTGAAATATTTTAGTGTGAGGACATAGTAGTTGATAATGTGGCGTAAGTGGACAAAATTAATCATCTTCAATCCGATTGCAGTTAGAAGGAATGTAATTGTTGATTTGATTCATGTTTTTGAACACATATCTTTTCATTGTGTTTTATGGTGTGATTTCATTAAGAATATCACCACTCTTTTCTATAGCATGATGCCTGCTGTCCGATTTCTATACTTATTCATATTCTAAGTTTAAGAGTAACAATACACGCTTAACAGTTAGTTTCCAGTACCTTTGCTATTTTGATATTTTGATTTAGAGTAATGATATGTGTCGTAAATTTACCTGTGTCTATCATACAACTTCAGTAACTATCTGCTGTGTATTTGACACATCAGCTGCGATTAGAACTCATATCATTTCTCATTAGTTCTTGCAGAAGGACTTCAGTTTAACATTCACTCCGTGTATCTATAGGCAAGCATTTGAATAAAATCCGCCTGCTTCTTGTGATTACTAAGTTGAGTTTTTGTACTCTGTTAATATGCCTTCTTTAGATATTCTGCCTAAGGCACAGCCATCATTCTAGTACCATAGATGCTAACAAGTGCATTCTTATTTTCCCTGGGAATTTAGTCCTAGATTTTGGAGTAGGGATCGTGAAATTGACAAGTTAGAAATCCTGTTTCATTTTGATTTCAACAGCAAAAATCAACCAAGAAACAGTCACAAGAAGATGAAGATGATGATCCATTTGAGGCTCTCTTCCGCCAGCTGGAAGAAGACTTGAAAAATGACGGTTTATCTTTCGATGACGATGATGAGGATATAAGTGAAGAGGACCTTGCAAAGCTTGAACTTGAATTGGAAGAGGTACTGAAGGATGATGAACTTTTTGGGGCTTTGGACTTGGTTGGGGATGCAAAAACAGAAGATGATGCCAAAGAAGAGGACGAAATAATACAAAACGAGGATGCTGGTGACCATGACGACCAGGACATTGGAGAAGAATTAGAGCCAGAAGAAGATGATGATGATGACGACGATGTAGAAATGCCAGTCAAGCTAAAAAATTGGCAGCGGAAGAGACTGGCTTATGCCTTGAAGAATGGTCGGCGTAAAACCAGTGTAAGTTTTATGTTTTAGGTACTGATTCAAAATTATCTGTCCATGTATCTCCTCTCCAATTTGATTTTTGGAAACAAGCGACCAAAAAGAGAAGTATATAAATTATAAAGCAAGAGTGTTTAATGATGTGTTGACTATCTCAATGGCCTTAAGATTTTGGTATATTTTCTTAATTGCAGATTAAGAACCTCGCAGCTGATTTGTGTCTTGATAGAGCTGTTGTCCTTGAACTACTCCGTGATCCTCCTCCAGATCTTTTGATGTTGAGTGCTAGTTTACCTGATAAACCAGCTTCAACGATCCTAGAGCCAGTAAATGAACCAACAGAAACAGTCCCTGTGGAGATGATATCAGAAATTCCAAAGCCCGCCGAGGAGGCTGCTGTGGGGAAGAAAGTGCCAATTCATGTGATGCAGAGCAACTGGTCTGCTAATAAGAGAATTAAAAAAGCTCAACTTGAAACTCTTGAACTAGTGTATAAACGATCAAAACGACCCACGGTGAGTTTTTTTTTTTTTTTTAATAATTTTCTTGAAACAATAGCTAGCTCAAATACCATTGACGCACTTCTGGAAAAACAATGCACTTTGGGGGTAAACAAATGTGATCATTATAAGGTGATTCAGTGAGGGTTTCATTCTTGGTTATCCTCTCTTGTTTCTTTTCTTTTTTTTTTTTAACGTCCATCTCCCTTGTTTCCTTTTTCAAAATATCATAAACTGTAAGCAGACGTTAGGCTACATGAGGGCTCCGTCTGACATAAAGCTGTTTGGTTTAGGCTTATGTTTCTGATATCGGTGACTAAAGATTTTCGGGAGAATGAAGTATAAATCTGGTAATTGTGGGTACCTGGGCAGATAGATTTGTTTAATTTTTGTCATAAGTACTGGTTCAATAGTAGTTGAAAGAGGTATCTGGATCATTATGTGGAGAAATTATGGAGTCCAAGGAAATTTAAAGGGGAATATTGAGAAGATATGGGTTTTGGGAGTTTTCCATGTATGGTTATCTTAGGGTTTTGCTGCTGAAATTCTTACTCTTTGCTGAAGAAACATTGACCCTGGTTCTTGTTTTCCCGTCAGAATGGCTGTGTTTCTTGACATTTTCTACTTCTCCGCTTTGGTTCTTGATAATGACTTCAACCAGAGTGCAAGGCTTTGGATAACATATTAGTCAATGTACATGAACATTATGCTCAAATAATTTTGGTTGGTATTACAATTGCATATTGTAAATCACTCATTTTTAATTTTTATTGTTTGAAAAATATTGTACAGAATGCCATGGTCAGCAACATTGTGCATCTAACAAATTTGCCTCGCAAAAAGGTTTTGAAATGGTTTGAGGACAAACGTGCTGAAGAGGGTGTCCCTGAGCGTCGCGCTCCTTATCAACGTGGTCCTTCCCCTTCCGTGTTCACATGAAAGATGGGTTCCCCCCAAGCCTCTCTTATAGCGATTCTCCAACATTGTCCACCTTTGCTATGGATTTATATTCTTTTTGTCTTATAATAGTGATGTGTAGGGGTCATGAGTATGCTAAAGTTTTGCTAAAGTTCAACGGAAACAAGCAAGCATAGGTTTTAGATGAAGAATGTGTAAGATTATGCTAAATTTGTTGTTGGATATATCATTATGTATATTCCATAACATTGTAAGGTTTATGGAAAGGTGATGACTTGACTTGACTAGAGGAAACCTAGTGTTCCAGGTGACATGGCAAGCTTTTGGCTAGATATTACTCTTTAAGATTTGGAGAAATCACGTAGTTTCAATTGTTTTTACCTTGCATGAAATTACTCTCAAACTTGAAAACTTCTTACTGTATTAGAAACAAAAACCACACTTAAGAGAAAGCACCACCATTTGGCATGTGGCATTTTCACATCATATTTTTAAAATAAATTTTTATTTCCACATCTCCTAGACTTAAAAGGTAAATGCAGTCCAAATCCACCTCCACCTCTTATTTTCGCTAAAAAAAAAAAAACCATGAGTTCATAAAAAACTCAATTCCTCATCTCCATCTCTACCACAATGGACTCCCTGATCACTCCCTTCTCCACAATTAAAAAAAAGAAACAAATTCCTCATCAATCATCAATTAAGAATATGTGGTGAAATATGTTTCATTCCAACTAGCATGTTCAATCTTTTCATCAGTGATGATCAACTACATCCTAATCGGATAAAATTTCGACTTCAAAAAATATTCTCTTTACCTCTCTATATAAACACAAAGGAAAAAAAAATTCTCATTGATCTTGCTTCGGTCGTTGTGGTGGTGCAATTACAGGTATTAAAATTTAAATGATTTTATTTCCACAGATCATTTGTTTAGCTTTTATTATTTTTTGTTTTTCCCGTTCAAGAATAGTGTTATTACTATTATTTTTATGCGTCCATCCGTTACAGCTACCGTAGCCGTTGTCAGGTAATAAATGTGATTTCTTATATGGTTAATTAGCCTAGAATTTTTGTATGATTTTAGTTATGTTTGGATTGAATTTATTAATTGAGTTTTATTACAAAATGTCGTTTTTTCAATTTCTTTTTTATATTTCATTCAATTAGAGTGTTTTTCTTTTTTTAATTATGGAGTCTCGATTTTTTTTTCGTATATGGTCAGTTATGAAGTGTGTTTTTTCTTTGTTTAATTGCTTTTAATTTTGTTTCATACTCCCAGTTGACCAATTATTATTATTATTATTATTGTTGTTGTTGTTGTTGTTTTATTTGCAAATGAAGCGCGTTTTTTTTTTTGTGTTCGGGCGTTCAAGAATATACTTTTTTGGATTTGATTTTTGGACTTTTTTTAGTTCCTCATTATATAAATAGTTCAGGTCGCTTCTTCTAATTAACTTATGGGAAAGCCTTTTATGAATTTGAGGCGGAGAGGGAAGGAATGATGTTTCTACGTTTATTTTTGTTTTTATACAAATAAATTTCTTAATTTTTAATGGGCTATCTTTTAATTTATTATTATTTTTCTTTATTTGCCATGGTGAGGTGAGTTATTTTTTGCTATAACTTGAAACCTATGCAAATTTACATTATTTTCATTCTCATATTAGTGATCAACTGATTTCAACAATTAACCAGTTTCAAAATCATATTTTTTATATTTTACTACCTATAAACTTTTGGAAGAAATAGTTCCAACAATTAAGTGTATACCCTTGGGAGGAAGCTTACTACAAAGCTATTATAAATCTCCAAACTAAGTATTGATTTGGCACAACCAATAAAGAACATCAATAAATTATCTTACTAATATTTAAACTTATTGGCATGCTGTCATATTTTCTCTAGCATTTACTTCAAGACATATATTTGATCAAATTTATTTATATTTAAGAAGTAACACTTATAAAACATTTCTAAAATCTTCAAACATTTCTAAAATGTACCGGACCAAATACAATTTCTTTTTATGCCAAATACAAACATTTCTATGATCACACTTATAAAACATTTCTAAATTCTTCAAAAAATTTTAAAATATATCGGACCAAATACAAAATATGTTTTTTTTCAGATACAAACATTTATAAGATCTATATATATATTAGGCAATGCGCGACCAGACATCACTAGTATCTCACAGAAGAGGTCAAACACCGCCGTGGAGGGGAAGTTACTGTGTATGTTGTGGTAGGCTTTCCGAGTTGAATTGGATCAACTCATTCTTTTGTTCCTTTTTGTTGTAGATATACCCCATCCCAGATGAATACTTTCTTCTTTTCACAATACGCTAAATGATCTATGAATCTCTTGGGTCTGTCCTTCGGTGCTCATCAGTATTATGCTGTCAATCTCCCTTTACAATCTTAGTAATTTGTTAATCATTAAATTATCTGTATCTTTATTCCTTTGGCACGTCGTTGTAGATTCAGTAAGGTATAAATCAGGTTTTGAAAATAAAGAAAGGGGCCATTGCACTGTTTTTGTAACCAATATTTGACTTATGATCAAATAAGATTGAAGCAAAAACACTCATGGGATGCTTAGTAAAAATGTGCTTCCGCGTGATGACATCCAAGTCGTGGAAAATAAGGTTGAAAGCAACAGCTTCAGTTTAGAAAAAGGTTCAGGCTTGGCGGCCCTGATTCTGATCGGAGTTGGCTAGCTTGGATCTGATTCCTTAATTTGAACATTTCTCTCCTTTTCTATAAACTCAATTTCTGATTTCTGATTGTCAGACCAAGCCCGATTAGGCAATTACCCAACTTTTTTCAAAGCAAGAAATCATTTCAATGAAATCGTTGGGTCATCAGTTATCACGGATTGAAGTACTTCATCCGTTCCAAAAATTAGTTCGTTTGGACTAGATAGAATAATACAAATTTCTAAACTTAATAGTATTAATAATACAAAATATAAATAGAACGCGAACCAACTTTTTTTTTTTTGGAATTAATAGAAGTGGTATAAAATGGGAGATTTGGTCCCAAAATGTCTTACTCCAAAGATTAAAATCTTCTTCCTTCAAATTTCCGAGGACCTTTGTGGTGCTTGACATCTTTTGGACGATATATATCTCAATTTTACTACTAACAATTTACGAAACTCAAGATTGTAATTTTCCCTCACCGTTACGTTTGCTTGTTTAGTGTACATCAATGTGTAAAATGTTAACTGAAAATGTTCAATCAAGGACAACGTACCAGCTAATTAGTTGAATTAGTCCAATTATACATTTTCTAACATGTCAAGCCATTTTATACCCTAAATTAATGTAATTTTGGTCATAGGTTAGACCTCAAAAAAAATCCTCTTTGGCATGTTGTTTTTTTAAAAAAAAAAAAAATTTTTCCTGCCTTATTGACTGGGCAATTCTTACCTCCAAAATGTCCATATATAAATCCATTCCACACAAAGCCAAAGCTATCCAAGTGATCATAGAAAAACACACACAGTCACACACTAAATAAGCAACTAAAAACAACATTCCTTCCCTAATCAAAATGGCAACTTTGCAGAGGTCTACAATGTCATACAGAAGAGAGGGATCATCAGGGGCAGTTTGGGGCGAAAAACTCCTGCCAGAACTGATTTTGGAGAAAGACAGGATTGACCCTAATGAGCTGAGGCATTGCCACAGTGTTGGAGGTCCATCTATGCTGACGAATCATCACAGCCATTCATCTTCATCTTCATCATCATCATCATCATCAGATGATGATGATCATCATTCATCATTTATATCACTTCCTGCGGGCGCCCCGCCGGCGTATATTAGCCGTAGCAGCAGCTTATCGGTATCGGCTTTGAAGCTGCTGAATCCTAAATCAGTATTTGGAGTTGGACAGAAGTTTAGAGGTGCAGGAAAACCGCCAAAATATGGGAAGCAATTCCCACTTGTTGGGAGGGTATGAATATGATGATCATCTAGTATTGCTGAAAACGTTACGAAAGATATTTCGTAACGCTTTTTTTTTGTGGAGCACAAAATAAATATTTAGGTGGGGATAAAGTTTATAATTTGTGTTAAGTTTGATTCGATTAATATTTAGTGTAACAATTATGACTTGGATTCATTTTTGTTGCGAGCAATGAATCTGCAAGCAGTGTTAAGTAGGAGATTCTTGCACCTTCAGTATTGCACTTGTGAAGTTACATTCCCACAATTTAGTGTTTTTTCTATTGAAATTTTGAGGATGAATGAAATTTTCTTTTAACCTTTAAATAAATAAAGCTATAAAAAGAAAAGAAAAGAAAAGAAAAGAAGAAAAACTCACGTGTTTAAAATAAAAAAAGTACGATGTTATGCACACAACAAAAAAAACGTTACGAAAATGTGAAAAGTAATGATACCCTATTTCTGCCTTCAATTTTATCTACTCACTCTGTCCCAAAATTATTATCCAATTTGAGATTTCACTTTTAATACAATTTGAACTATAAATGAAAACCCAAACTGGATAATAATTATGGGACGGAGGGAATACATTTTTTAAAAAGTTTTTGCTAGATTCTGCCTTTGTCCATGTGACTCTAAAGAAAATCGAAATAACAGAAGGTGTACTAAATTTCTGAAATTGGGAACCAGAATAATTTTTCTTTTTCCTTTTATGGTACTCCTACCTTAAAAAAATGAGTCGGCTTGTATGATTTGTCAGTAATTATTTGAATTGTCCCCTTTGTTAGGTGTAAGAAACAAATTCATTAGAGTAAACCAGACAATTAAATAATATTATTCGCTGTGTTCTAAAATTATTGTCGAGTTTGAGATTTCACTTTTAATACAAATTGAACTAAAAATAAAAACCTAAATTGGACAATATTATGAGACGGAGGGAGTACAAAACAAAAACTGACACTTCCTTTTTCCCTTTTCTCGACAATGTGGGATTGTTCGGCGGCATTGGATTTCATTTGTTAAATTTGCCTTATATTTGATGCGACACTAGTTATATTCTTAACAAATATATTTATGTCTAATGGTAGCACTTAATAGAAGTTAGTTTTTTACGAGTAACATTTGGTACTTACACTTTTAACTATAGGTCGAGGGTTCGAACTTCGCTATGAGCATGGAGCAATCTTAAATACTTTGGCCAGCTATCCCACCCATTAAAGTGCCTATAATTCAACGAGCGGGATTAGTCACTATTGCCGACGGTGGACACCTGCAAATATGAAAAAAAAAAAAAAACATTTGGTACTAACAAAGAGAGAAAGAAAGGAAAAAGGACAGTGAAAAAGGAAAACAGAGTTGGCCAGTTGGGTAACTTTAATTTTTTTTTTACCCTCCTCCACTACTAGTAAAGAAGCAGCAGCATATCACATGCCCATCCCCCGGTCCCCATTTCCCAACACCCAAAATTACAGAAAACTCCACTTTTTAAACATCCCAACCGTCCAATAATAAATCTAAATCCCAATCCAACGATCAATGTCCCTCCACGATCCCCGCCCACAAGCCTTTGATTAATCAAACACGTTGTGGCTCCTAAGACTTCCACGATCATCTCTTTTGGTCCGTCAGATCATATCCAATCCAACGGTCCACACATCACCACTTCCCAGTCTTTCCTAATTCTTCCTCCCCCACTCTACTGTCTCCCAAAACCTCCCGCTCTTTTTTTCTCTGCATTTCTTCTTACACTCCACAGAAAAAAGTCTATCCAATTTCTCTGAATATTTAAATCGGATCCCGTTTTCTTTGGGGACCCTTTTTCAGCCTTCAATTTTGGTCTTGTTTGATTCTTTTTTTTTTTGCCCCTGTTAATTGTAAGAAAAAGAAGGAAGAGAAATGCAAGAACAAGCTACGAGTTCCATAGCTGCAAGCTCAAGACCTTCCAGCAGTGAAAGATCTTCTAGTTCTGCCCTTCACGTTGAAGTCAAAGAAGGTTCTTCTTCTGTCTTGCCCTGCTATGAAGTTCCCATCTTTGCTTCTACAATGAGGGTGCTTTGTGAAATTGAGCTTCTGAAAGTGATCACTGTTTTCTGGGGATTTTTCTGCAAGGATTTTTTTTTCTCCTTTTTTTAACTTCCCTTTCTCGAATTTTGAGATTCCAGAATCAACTTTTAAGTTTTGGGTTTCGATGAGTTTGATGGTTTCCCTTGGACAACGCGAATTATTATTTTTTAAAAAGGAAGAAAATATCTGGGATTTGTTTAGTTCATTCTGGGTGAATTTGGTACGGAAAGATTAAATTTTTATCCTTCTGGAGTTTTCGAGGAGTTTTATGACTTTCCCTTGAGAATGTGGTGTTTCTTTTTTTGGAAGAAGAATCATTTATTGAATGGTTGAATGTTTTTTTGTTTTTGTTTTTCTGGGTTTGAAGTAGTGACATAATTTGTCGATGTTTTTTATACTTTCCCTGTTTATGTATGCTCTTTAAGGAATGGAAAGTGATGACGAGATTCGAAGAGTCCCTGAGATCGGAGGGGAATTAGCCGTAGTATCGGCTTCTGGTAGAGATGGCGGCTCAGTTGCCGGCCCTGTTCAGCCGTCCACTGCCGGCTCGAGAAAGAGAGGGAGAAGCCCAGCTGATAAAGAAAACAAGAGATTGAAGAGGTTAGTCATTAGATTCACGCACTCTGTGTTTCGGTTTGCAATGACTTACAAAGGAAACAGCCAATTAGAACACTGGCTTTTCAGCTTTTGGGTCCCACTAGTCAGATGCGGGCCCCGATCGTGCGGTAGCCAGCTGGCAATGTGAGCTTCATGGTGGGGGGGAATTAGAAATTGGGTTATGGAGTTGAGTGTTTGAGTGCAACTTGTGCATCTTTCTCTTTTGGTCGTATATGTCAGCATTTTCAGCCTAATTAATGTTAGCAAGGAATCATGTCCATATGAGATATGAATTGTCTTTTACTAGTCTGCGTTTCAAGTTTAGGAGATAGAGAATGGACCGCCCGGAATTTTAAATGCAAATTGGTGCGGTAGTTTACATTCACCAATTTACGACAAGAGATCACGAATGCGACATGAAATCATCTAGTAAAAATTCAGTCTTGGATTGTGAAAAGTTGAAAATTTTAATTCGGTATTTTCGTAGTCCTTGTGGATTTGGAAAATGCTTGTCTAGGAATTTTGGCATTTGATGCTGTTCATTGCATGATTGTGGCTGTAAATAATCTTCTTATAACTTTGGTTAATTTTGGGGGAATGGATATGTGAAATAGGTTGTTGAGGAATAGAGTGTCAGCGCAGCAAGCAAGGGAGAGGAAAAAGGCGTATTTGATTGACTTGGAGGCTCGGGTTAAAGAGCTCGAAACAAAAAATGCTGAGCTAGAAGAGAGGCTCTCCACGTTGCAAAATGAAAACCAGATGCTTAGACATGTATGTAATTCTTTTCACATCTTTACCCACTTATTTTGTTATTTTATTTTGGTTGCATGTTTGATTTTCGTTTTAAGATTCTCTATGGTTGGTTTGTATTTCAAAAGCTTCTAAATTTAGATAGCTGACGCCTCTCCATTAACCAAATGTATATATAGCTTAATCCAAGCTTCCATATTGTGATTCTCAAGGTTTAAAGAGCGCTGAGCTTTTTTAAGATATTTCTTGAGGCGTTTCACTATACTATGCAGTCTACGCTGAACGGAAGTTGGTAAATTTGGAGTGAAAGAGATGATGTATTTGGCTACAAGCCTTAGCTGGTTCCAGAATATATTCTCTCCTTTACTTCTGAAATCATGAAATTGGCAGCTTTTTCCTATGCGGGGTTGTTAGCATTGAGGGCTTGCACTCAGGGTCTAATTCATTAGCTCTTTGCTAGATCCTCCTTTTGGTGTATGGGTTTTCAAGCATTTATTAACAGTAATTTTGTTTAGCCTTGACTAGTCGTTAGGTACTATTTTTCTTTGGATTCTGAACAAGAGAATGGGGCCCAATTAATTGATGAACTGACTAATATTTGGACCTCCTAAACCCTCCAATAAATAATCCTAGGGTATTAAGTTATTCATGAATCACTTGTGTATCTATTAATTTCTACTTGAAGGGTAAGATTCCTCATCTTCTCTTGACGTTTCATGGTCCCGCCTTTGGAGTTCCATGTTAGTCTTAGAATGTATATCTTCATGGCTCATGATTTTGTATCCCAACTTTTTACATTTTGATAAATTTAAGATCTGTTTGACGAGTGACACTTGGATGGTTCATACCTGCATGTAGATGTCGAACTTTTGCGTGTATTGGAAGTTCAAATCTGATTGGTGCTTATGTTTTGCAGATATTGAAGAACACAACGGCTGGTGCACAGGATGGGAGAAAGTAGTAGCTTTGTTAAAAGAGGAGAAAGAGAAATGAAAATATATTTCATGGATCTCCTCACTGTACCCTAGATATACCATTATGGATATGGTGATACTAGATGAATTATGGATCAGAAATAGGTATCAGTTGTAGAGCTCCTAATTAATGCTCACTCGGCCTAGGGTTCTCGGTCTCAGTCAGACCTATTTCCTTAAAGTTTGCAGTGTCCTCAACTTCTATGGCATGCCGCCGCCTAGTTCTTCTTCAACCATTTGTGTATTATTGAATTGATGATGGCAAATTGGTAATGGTAAGTGGCTTGATGATACCGGATAATGTACTAGATGTTTAAAGATACCAGAGAATCAGAGATGAAGAATGTGATTGATTCTTCTTGAGACTTGGATTGGATGGAGTACGATGAATGGGAACTGATTTAGAGGCATTGGATTTTTGCTAGATCTTTTAAATAAGGCAAGGTAATGTGAGCGTAATATGTTGGTGCTATATTTCAAGGCATTTGATTACCATTAATTTTATGCGAAAAAATGGGAAGAGTTTTATTTATCGAAATAAGATAGTAAAAACATCTAATGATAGCACATTATTATTTTGGGACGGAGAAAGTATTATAGTAGTATATGTTTAATTTTTGAAGTATTGTCATTATTGTTTAAGCGGGGAGCGTAAATGTCACTATTAATGATGGCCATAATAATTAGTGTTTCAGGAAACGTAAATTTGGGGAAAGTTGTGTGTCCTCGTAGATCAATAAATTCACCATTCGAAGGTCTTGTTTATGGAATACTATGAGATGGACGTTATTTTTAAAATTCACATTTGAGATATATTTAGAATTCTTTTATACGTTAATTTTAAAATTCACATTGGAGATGTATTAAGATTTTCTTTTTTGTACTTATACAAATCATCTATTGATACTGGTTTTTTTTTTATTCCTATAATAAATTTATAAGTTTCCCAATTTTTTCAAATGTAGTTTGTGATCATGATGTAAACTGTTTTGATTCCTTGTTCCCACCGGCCTAGTAAAAAGTTGGTAGTGCTACATCAAAGTCCACGGGTGGCTGTCGGCAGTCCGGCCACTGGCCGCCGCTGGCGACACTCCATGGCAAACTTAGATTAATTGCTTACGTTTGCTTCTTTTCTTTCCCTTGATAATCCAAATTGTATACATTTCCTTAATTTTTGAACAACAAACAGATGAATAAATTTTGAAATTAGAACAAAACAAAGTATCTTAACGTCTTCACCAATTACCGATTAGCTAAAGTATACGTGAGCATTTTTATCAAGTTCTTGTTAAAAATCATAATACTTCCCCCGGCCAAAAAATAAATAAATAATGTAAATAAGTAAGGAGTAATAAGTAGTGCATAAATTTTCAGTTTTGTAGTAATTGTAAAATTGAATTACGTTTTGAAAAAAGGATAAGAAAAAAAAAAAGGATAACAAGGGAATAGTCAAAACAATGTTTCAAAGATTTAAAAGTTGGTTGTAAAGTTGCGTTCTTTGAGATAATTCAAATTGCATTTTCTCAATTCCCCAACACTATGCTGAATATCTGTATGATTTTAAACATTAATCTGTCTATCAAGGGCAAGTTTACAATATAGACAAATAAAAACAAGGACTTTTTCTGCAATTAAATCAAAAAATCAAAAACAAAATTATAGAAACCAAAACCCAGGGGAAGAGGTTGATAATAATTAAGAAAGAACAGCTCAAGTCATCCAGTTATCAGTCTTGAGATTGTGTAGTAGTAGTAGTAGTAGTAAGGGGGAAGCTTGTGCTTTTAGAGTGATGTAAGAAAATGGCCATTTAATGGACTCTTTTGGAACAATCAGAGAATGCCTTATATTCTCCTTCTCTTCTTCATACTCCTAATATCCTCTTTTCCCTTAAATTTATTAGTACTCTTATATACTTTTGTGAATGTTACTAAGATCAGACCCCCATTTCCACCTATTGGTTCATTATTGTTCTTGTAGTTCCATCATATTATAGTTGTTGTTAATCGTTTAAATAAAAAAATAAAAAAAGAAGAAGTTTTTAAGGAAAGAAAATGGACTCAAATGCTGGAATGATTGCCGGATCACACCAAAAGGATCAGTTGGTTGGGATTCTCCATGATTCTGATACTGCGGTTTGATTCCTTCTTTTTTTTTTCTCCCGTTATTATTGGTTAAAGTGGAATTCGTTTACTTGCATTTTCAGCTTTGGTGTTCATTCAAAAAAGAATGAACTATTTGGGGGCTTGGATCCCTGAATGCTGAGATTGATGGAAATATGAATAATTTCTTATGGGATTGTGAGATACTAGTGTTGATACTGAATTTTTTAGGCGTGAAGATCATGTGTTTGGAAATAATTTTGGCTTCCTATATACTGTTCATTTGATCTATGTTATTGGTCTGCAGAGTTTACTGTTCTGCTGAACATTTGATTTTGTGTTGATTTTTTATAGCATTATTGTTTCTGATAAGAATAGCTGATGAAAGGCTGGCTATTTCTGAAGCAGATTCCTATGTACTAGCTTTTTTTAGTTGCTATGTTCGCCAAGCTACTCTTCAGCATTTCGGATAGGGAGGATTTTATTTTATTTTTCCCACTTTTTCTCTTGTTAAGAGGATTGTATACCTTTTCTGGTTATCTTGCTGTATCACTGTGTTTTGTTTGGTACTAATCTTTTGATGATTGCCTTGAAAATCAGGCCTTTTTGAATGTTACTATTTTCTGCTTTAGGCCTTTAAATTAGACCAAGAATCCTTAAGGCTTTTGATGGTAAGTGACAATTAAAGTGTCTGATGCCGGGGTAGGTTCTCTGTGATCAATCTCATAGATGAAAGTTTGTCTTTCTTTAATCTACTTTCAGCTTAAATTCAGTGTTTTTGTTTTAAATTTAGTTTCGGATGAGGTTTTGCAGGTCGATAATTTAGTTTGGTGCTTTGGGATAGATTATTATACTTAGCTTTCATTGGATTTAAGTAGCAATTCTTTGAAAAATTCACCTTGTCTGCTCATATTTCGGATCTCCTGCGTTTCTTTGCACAGTGTCAAAACGAGCTTTTCAAACTAAGTTTACATTAGTGAATCAGCATGTCTGAATTATTGTAAGCCACCCCAATTTCTAAGTTAATATGGCTAATATCACTGGCATTCCTCATGAACCATGTTTCTTTTTTAATTATGTTTGACTTCTGAACTGTCTGGTGTTTATTGCAGCAAAACCCACAGAAGCATTTGAATGGCCAGATATGTCAGATATGTGGTGACAGTGTCGGATTAACTGTTGATGGTGATATGTTTGTTGCCTGTAATGAATGTGGTTTTCCAGTTTGTCGTCCTTGTTATGAGTATGAGCGAAAAGACGGAAATCAATCGTGTCCTCAATGCAAGACCAGATATAAAAGACACAAAGGTGACGGGAAGTTGCTTAAGGGCAAATTTAAGAATTTTGGTTGACATATAGTTTTAGTCTGAGTTGTGCACTATAAAACTTAAGGTTTTGTCTTACTGAACGAAATAATGTGCATGCATTAGGGAGCCTGCGAGTTGATGGAGATGATGATGAGGAGGATGTTGATGACCTGGACAATGAGTTCAACTATGCCCAAGGGACTAGCAAATCAAGACGCCAATGGCATGGAGAAGATGCTGAATTGTCTTCATCCTCTAGGCATGGATCTCAGCGACCTATCCCCCTCCTCAGGAACAGCCATGCAGTAAGTGATTTTCTGTACAGAGAATGCCTATTTCTCTCTTCTCACCTATATTGAAATTCTAGGTGCATAGTTTCTCTCCTACAAACTGATTTTGTGCTTGATCATGCTGGTATACTCAGAATCTGCTGATTTGTCTTTCAAGCTTAAAATTTTACTAGGTTCCCAGAGGCTACAAATCTCACTTGAATCCACTTGATTGCCATTTATCAGCTAAATAGCGAAAATAGCGTGAAAACAATAAGCATGTTTTCTTACTTGGGATTGCAAATATGGTATTATTGATTCTGTGATAATAGTTCATCGCTGTTCTAAGAAAATGTCATTGGTGATCTCTTTTTTGTCTTTGTCCTTCATCAAGGTCACTGTATGGTTGACCTCTCAATTTTCTGTGTTTCGGTTCTCCTATTCCTTCCAATTTTTCTCATGGGGAAGGTAGATCTATCTTTAGTTTTACTACCCATAGAGTTTTGTTACATCCAGTGGTGAATCTGTCTTTTTTAACTGTTCAGATGTCTGGTGAAATTCCTGGTGCTGCTGTTACCGAAACTAATTCTATCAGAAGTACATCAGAACCTTTAGGCCCTGGAGATAAGGCTCTTCCCTATCTGGATCCTAGGCAGCCAGGTCAGCTATGTGTTACTGGATTTTACCACTTTCTGGAAATATATACTTCTACGGGCTCAGAAAGATTTACGTTTGAAAAGCAGCTAATTAATAATTTTATAATTTATAGTTCCTGTGAGGATTGTGGATCCCTCAAAAGACTTGAATTCTTATGGGCTTGGAAATGTTGACTGGAAGGAGAGAGTAGAAGGGTGGAAGCTCAAACAGGAAAAAAATATGGTGCAAATGACTAACAGGTACGCCGAGGGGAAAGGAGATATTGAAGGGACTGGTTCAAATGGAGAAGAGTTACAAATGTAAGCACCTTAAATCTCCAAATGCTGCAACGATTTGTTTTCTGTTTGAGACTGAACATTATTGTGATCGTGCAAGTATAGTCTTATGGATATCTGCAATAATGATTCTGAGAATGAATGCAATCGGGAAAAAGCTTCAGTACAGCAAAATATTTGGTTTTGATGTCTTCAATTATTGGTGGCTCCTTCTAATTGGCAGGGTCGATGATGTCCGGCAACCAATGAGCCGAGTAATCCCCCTCCCTTCATCTCATATGACACCATATCGTGTGGTTATCATACTTCGGTTGATCATATTGGGCTTCTTCTTGCAATACCGGTGTACTCATCCAGTGAATGATGCTTATCCTTTGTGGCTAACTTCAGTTATCTGTGAGATTTGGTTTGCATTATCCTGGCTTCTTGATCAATTTCCAAAATGGTATCCTGTCAACCGCGAGACCTTCCTTGATAGACTTGCAATGAGGTTTGTGAAATTCTTCAATTACACAACTTATTTTTGCGGCTATGTACTTCGAGACTTAGTCCTTTTTTCTCAGATATGGTAGGGAAGGGGAGCCTTCGCAGTTAGCTCCTGTGGACGTATTTGTCAGTACTGTGGATCCCATGAAAGAGCCTCCTCTTATTACCGCAAACACTGTGTTATCCATCCTTGCTGTGGATTACCCTGTAGATAAAGTCTCTTGTTATGTGTCAGATGATGGTTCAGCAATGTTAACTTTTGAAGCTCTAACTGAGACAGCTGACTTTGCAAGGAAGTGGGTGCCATTTTGCAAGAAGCACAGTATTGAGCCAAGAGCTCCTGAATTCTACTTTGCTCGGAAGATTGATTACCTTAAGGACAAGATCCAGCCCTCCTTTGTCAAAGAACGCCGAGCAATGAAGGTAAGTGCTGAAGCAACAATTTGTGCACAGTACACATTATACTACACCTCAAATTTGTAGCTGTGCATTTAGTTATTAACTGGAATTTTCATGATGGGAAGTAGTTCAAGGTTAAGTTTGTTAAATGACAAATATTCTGTTTATTTGTTTGTTTGCATGAACAGAAGAAAAGTCTACTGATATCAGAGACTATAATGTTAACTTTTGTGGAAGTGGCCTTTGGTGTTTCTGCCTGGTTTGGGGGTCTTCTTAATATGGACAGATTAGATTATATAAGGGTTAAGCTCATTGTTTTTAGTTCAGTCTCATTGTATCATATCTGTGCCATTTGTGACCAGATAGAAAACATAATGGGGAGAATCATTTGAGCTCTGTTCTGCTACTTTTTCCTGAGATAAAACAGGAATTATGCTGTAGTTACATGTATGAAGATAGGTGTTTGAACTTAAACATTATTGCTTTTCCTGGAAAGTGAAAGAAATTTGTCGAGGAATGTGCCCTAGAAGACATCATCCACAATGAACAGAAGTATTATCTTGAGTTGTCATTTGCATTTTGGTGACACAAAACTGTAAAAAGTCATTTCCATAAATGATTCTCTTAATTTCTTTAAAACCTTACCAAACATAGCTGATGTGGCAGTTAATTTATGTTCGTATGCTTG